TTCTGTAAAAGACTCTGTCTTTCTCTTTCCATGTAGAATTTCTTCCAAGACGGTGCCTATTTTCCTGAAGGATTCCATCACCACCTGGGAAGTCCTGGCTGTGAGCCTTTCAGAGACCAAAGGTGAGGAACACCCTAATGGGGAAAAGACCCCAGGCCACAATGGGCCTTGGAAACGTCACAGTGAGATGGAACAATCGAGGAGACAGACACGTTTCAGGGCTAAAGTATAAGCCCCCCCGTCTCTGACCCTGGGTCTTTCCCCATTGCAGGGATCTGTGTGGCTGACCCCTATGAGATAACAGTAATGAAAGATTTTTTCATCGACCTCCGGCTGCCCTACTCTGTCGTGAGGAATGAGCAGGTGGAAATCCGGGCTATTCTCTACAACTATCGGGACCAAACAATTAAGGTAAGCTCACCGCCTCATGGGGCTCTGCAATGGACCTGAGGTGTCAATGCTTTGACAGACAGCGAAACCAAAACAAAATGGTGGAAGGTTTGTTCTTCTAGGGCCTGATCCCTTTGGGGCTGGACACCCTTGTCTCCCATTGACCTTGTTGGGTGCTCAGCACCTTGCAGGATCAGGGCTATGGAATCCACCTAGTTAAGAACATAAGAACGGCCACACTGGGTCAGACCAATAGTCCATCTAGCCCAGTATCCTGTCTTCTGACAGCGACCAGTGCCAGGTGGTTCAGAGGGAATAAACTGAACAGGTAATCATCAAGTGATCCATCCCTTGTTGCCTATTCCCAGCTTCTGGCAAGATTGCATGATATAGAGGAAGATAAAAAAATACCCTTCTGTCTGCCATTCTTCTCTGGTTGGGCCTCAAATCTGTGAGTGGGTACCAGGTTCAGAGCTTTCTGCTGACTCACACCAGTAGCCAGACCAGGTGGGTCTCATTACTTCCACTCAGGAACACCACAGGCTGAGGGCCTCTCTGAGGCAGGACAGAACTAGAGGGGGTCCTGAAGGACCTCTCAGGAAGGAGGTCAGGATACGGTCTTGTGCGTTGTAAGTACAGTCCTGTCTGTTATTTATTAAGATTAAAAAGGCAAACTCCAGTCAGAGGGTACATTTTGGATCAATACCCTACAGTGTCATGGTGTGCAGACTGCCTGCTCACGAATCTCTGTTCTCTTCTCAGGTCCGGCTAGAGCTGCTGTACAACCCAGTTTTCTGCAGCGCATCCACTTCCAAGGCTAAATACCGGCAGATCCTTGACATCAAAGCCAAGTCCTCCCTGGCCGTGCCATTAGTGATTGTCCCGCTGCAGCTGGGATCTCATGACATTGAGGTCAAGGCAGCAGTGTGGGGCAGTTTTGTGTCTGATGGCGTGAAGAAGAAACTGAAGGTTGTGGTAGGTATCAGGTGACGGGATGGGGGAGATGTCTGCTGGAGGGCAAGAGGCTGGAGGCCAGATTGGCTGGCTTCTGGAATTGGTGCTGTACCTTTAGCTGTTAAATTAACACCCTGCATCTCCATCCTCATCCCACTTCCTCCCCTCCCCTGTGGCAATGACAGCAGGGCTGGGGCTGGCCTGGTTATCTTACACTCAATCCTCTGAGCTGTCATATAAAAGACCTAGGTTCAGTTCCTCAGGCCCAGGGTCTTGCTCCTTGGACCAGCGGGTGCTGGAATCAATGCAGACTCAGTGCACCCAGGGAGAACCTCCTATCACTTGGCAGAGAGAGCTGAGCAAAGGAGCAGCATTGGTGGGTTGTGAAGGGCATCCCATTGGCCTGCTCCACGAGATCACTGCAATGCTGGGTGAGAGGAAGATCCTCCAGGGATGATCAGGGAGTAGAAAAGTCCTTCAAGGAAGTCACAGAGCAATGATGGAATGAATTGAGCTTCTCACTTCCTCGCCCTGCCAGACTCATAAGAACGGCCATACTGGGTCAGACCAAAGGTCCATCTAGCCCAGTATCCTGTCTTCCGACAATGGCCAATGCCAGGTGCCCCAGAGGGAATGAACAGAACAGGCAATCATCAAATGATCCATCCCGTCGCCCATTCCCAGCTTCTGGGAAATATTTGTCCCGTTCATCTGTGGTGGAATCAGTGGTGTTATGCTAGGGATGAATTTGGCCTAGGGACTTCTCCTTGGATGCATCCTAACCAGGATCCAAAATGAAAGGGGACGCTGCCTGAGGTTGAGGTCAGATTGCAGATTCATTGGGACGGACCCTGATTTCAGTTTCACTTGACTGCTGATTTCCAAAGTGGAGTCACTCCTGATTCACATTGATCACAAGATCAGCAAGTCGCTCACCTTTTCCTACTGCTCTTCATTGTCTCTAAATGCTATTGTGCTTATTATGCTCTTGTCATTCCTTTCTAGCCTGAAGGGATGAGGATGAGCAAAACAATTAAGTCTGTAGTATTGGATCCATCTGCAAAAGGACCAGGTGAGTAGCCACAGTGCTTTGCGTTTACATGGAGCCTCTCATCCTGAAGGTCTCAAAGAATTCCACAATCTATATCTAAGTGAGGGCATCTCTGTTTTTGGAGCCCTTGTATCTAACCCAAACCCTTAATCGAATCTGTAGCAAACTTCCCTGAAAAAATCTACCCTGGCATCTGATCGTGCGTGGGAGATTTCAGAGGGATTGGTTTAGTGTTGGCTGAGATGGAGGTCAAAATCAGGCTCATCGCTGAAGACTAGTATCAGCACTATGCAGAGCAATTCTGCTGCCACTGAAATGCAGCCACCTCTGCCTGCCCCGTATTCATAGCTTCCTGATTCCCATCTCAGCTGCCCCCTCCCTCCCTTTGCCCTAGCACATCAGTGGATTGTGCAGGGCTCTCTATGAGCGTTGTAAAGTATTATTCAAGAACCAGCAGCAAAGCTCACCTGGCTGGACGGATGGCATTTCACTGTCTCTTCTCCTCGTCCTTCCTTTTCAGGGGGAGTCCAGGAAGAGAAGGTGAAAGCGGCAGATATAGATGACATGGTTCCAGACACAGAATCGGAGACCAAAGTCAGCATACAAGGCAAGAGCCTCTGATTTGAAAGAGTTTTATGCTTTAGAAACAGAGTGAAGGGAGCAATGAATTCTCCTCTGGTAGCCACACGCGCAGGAGGTGGACCGATTACCCACCTGGTTCTGTTACAACTGTCTACGTGCACTATGGAGCATTAATGGCCAAGATACAGCAAAGTCGTTGTCGGCGTGTGGCTAAGCAAGGTGCTCTCGGGAGAGACAGGTGCACAGAAATAAGGAGCACCCAAGGGGCAGCCTATGTCTCTGGACAGGATGGCCATAGTGGTTTGAGCCCTAGCTTAGTATTTAGGAAGTTTAAGTTCAAGACCTTCCTTGGCCACAGACGTTCCTGGTGACTTTGGGCACCTCCCTTAGCCTATCTGTCCTTCAGCTCCCCATCCGTAAAATGTGGATAATAGCCCTTCCTTTAACCCCATTTAGCTTGACCAGCAAGGGCTGGAGCGAAGTAGCCTAGGAGGGCTTGGTGAGAAACGCTCAGAGCATCGCAGGGACCTTGTCAGCACACAGGGCCCGGATCAATTGTTGCTGGGTTAGGATCCAACCTTAATGGGGTTTGGGTGTGCTCAGCACCATACCGGACTGAGCTCTCAATCTGCCATTGCTCGCAGAGAGGTCTGTCTGTCTCTCTGTCCCCACCAGCGCCTGCTCTCGGTGCTCAAATTCACGCCGTGTTATTTCCTTGGCCAGGAAACCCTGTGACAATCATTATCGAAAACTCCATCGACGGGGCCAACCTGAAGCACCTCATTGTGACGCCGTCTGGCTGTGGGGAACAGAACATGATCGGCATGACCCCCCCGGTCATCGCCACCATCTACCTGGACGGCACCGAGCAGTGGGAAAGGATCGGGGTGGAACGCAGGGCGGAAGCCATCAAGTTGATCATGCAAGGTAAGTACTTCTCATGCCAGACAGCAAATCCCTCTTCAGGCTCGCGTTAGGGACACAGGAACTGCGGCACAGGACTGGCCCCGAGGTCCATCTAGTCCAGTAGCCTGTCTCGGAGAGTGGCCGGTACCAAATGCTTCAGAAACCTCCCGTTAAACACATTGGGCAATAGAGAGTCCCGGGATCAGGCAGGTAGCCTGGCACTCAGGGGACACCAGTTCAGTTCCCTGCTCTGCCACAGACTCCTGGTGGGATGTTGGGCAAGTCACTTAATTTCTCTGTGACTCCATTTCCCCCCTGCAAACGGGGAGAGTCGCAGTGCCCTGCTGGCAGAGGGGTTGTGAGGGTAGATGGCAGGAGCTCCGCAAACTCCCACCGGCACCTGGAGCGTGGCCCTGCTCCCGCTCTGCCCTTCCCCACTCTGCCCCACCCCCACTCTGCCCCTCCCCCTGTGGGCCCACCCACGCTCTGCCCCGTGGCCCCACCCCACTAGGCTTCTTCCCCCTCAGGTCTTGCCCTTGCTCCACCTCCTCCCGCCCCCATTCTGCCGCTCACTCCTCTCCTCCCCCATCAGTCACCCATAAGGCAGGAAAAAAGTGGGAGGGGCCATGATCCCTGGCTCCCCCTGTTCCGGTGCCCCTGGTAGTTACATTGAAGAATGTGAGGCACCCCGGTACTATGGGAATCGGGGCCAGACAAGCCCCTAAAATAGAGAGAGAATCTGTCTCCCACTTTAGGTCTCCTACTCCCTTTAGAGGTTGGTTTAAGACTTGAAGCATGAGGTTTAATATCCCTTCACCAGTGTACACCGGCATTAGTCATGATAACTCTGAATAGACCTTCCTGTGGAGACAAACGCCCAATCCCATTTTCAGTCCCGCTGGGCTTTTGGGCTCCTGTTCATTGCTGGCCTATGGCTGTTGTGTGGGGGATGGGATGGCAGTGGGGTGGAGGCCATTCACCCACAGTTCAAATCCGTGTCAGGTTGGCACTTGGTAGCGAGGAACGATAGAGAATCTCATGACCATTGAGAGAACTTGGTAGGTTTCAGCCTAGCTCCTGAAAGAACAGGTGTCCCTTTAACTACACCGCAGGCCCCCTTGTGGGCTGCCTAAATTAGGCACGGAGTCTGAACTACAAACATCCCATCCCTTAAGCTTTTACAATATGGGGAAACTTTTTGTATGAGGCAGGCAGTGACTTGCCCAACAGCACATCACGTAGTGAGTGACAGAACTGAGAACTGAACCCAGGAGTCCTGACTCACAGCACCTTTCTCCAAACACTAACCCACCCTCCCCTCCTGGAGCCTGGCATAGAACCCAGGCATCCCACCTCCCAGGTCGCCATACACTGTAATCACTTGGCCCCACTCCCACCCTGGAGGAAGGATTCATGCTGCTGTGGAACGGGGCAGTGCCCACGCCAATCGGCTTCCCCACCAGACATCTTTCTGCCTTTGCTTCCCTTGAGTTGCTGTGCTGTGTCCCTCCTGCAGAAAAAGGGAGAGCCACACAACTCAGACAGCTGCGGCAGGGGTCACAGCTCTGACTTCATTTGCCTTACGCATGTAAAGCCTCATTAGACACTCGCTAGACAATGCACAGCTCCTTCTTACTCTCCCTGTTTCAGGTTACACGCAGCAGATGGTTTACAAAAAACCCGACTTCTCATACGCCGCTTTCAAAGACCGGCCAGCAAGCACTTGGTGAGGACAGTGGGTTTTCTAATGCACCCTCTCGATCAGCGTTAGCCTGACCCTACACATGCAATATGTGAGCCAGAGCAAGTCAGTCTCCAGCCCAAAACCAGAGGGCAAAGGTCAACACACACAATGGGGAAAAAAGTACCCAATCCAACTCCCACAGATGGCAATGGAAAGACGCCCAAAGATGAGACAGGCACCTGGCAGGATCTACAAAATCACCTGAGCAGAATAGGGGCTTAATTCCCTTTGAAAGTCAATGGGAGTTGGGTGCCTAACTCACTTAGGCACTTTGGTAAATCCCAGTGGGTACCTATTTGCATCTTTAGGTGCCTAAATACCTTGTAAATGTGGCCCCCAGTGATTTCAGTGACAGTTCAGTGTGGGCGAGCAGATGGCTTGAGGGATTGGGAATGAATAAAGCGAAGATTTAGTCATGGGTATTTTTAGTAAAAGTCATGGACAGGCCACGGGCAATAAACAAAAATTCACGGCCTATGACCTGTCCATGACTTTTACTAAAAATACCCCGTCAGGGTGTCACACCCCTGACTAATTCTTAGCTGCTCCTAGGGCGCCACTGAACTGGGGGTCCCCGGGGTGCTGCTGCTCTGGGGGTCCCCAGGGAGCTGCTGCTCTGGGGGGTCTCTGCAGCGCCATTGCTCTGGGGGATTCCCGGGGGCTGACAGCTGGCTCCTGCTCCGGTGGCAGAGTCTGACTGCATCCGGCCGCCCGCTGTTCCGAGGCCCCTGGGGACGCTCTCCAACGGCCTCCGGGGCTGCTCCTGGGCCGCTGCTCAGACTGCCCGCAGGGTGGCCCTAAGGCCTGCTGCTGCCTTAGTAATGAACTCCAGGTCCTTTCAGTTTTAGGTGGCTAGTTTGTAGCTTGCTCAGACTAACGGTTACCATAGGCGCCAACTTTCCCACTCCTGGCCCCGCCCTGACTCCACCCTTTCCCTGCCCTTACCCCACCCCTGTTCCAACTCCTTCACCAAAGTCCCTGCCCCAACTCCACCCCCTCCTTGCCCCTATTGGACCTATTCCCCAAATCCCTGCCCCAGCCGTGCCTCTTCCCTGAGCGCGCCGCGTTCCCCCTCTTCCCCCCCTCTCCCAGCGCTTGCAGCACGAAACAGCTGTTTCGCAGCGCAACCACTGGGAGCGAGGGGGGAAAAGCGGGTACGTGGTGCGCTCAGGGGAGGAGGCAGAGGTGAGCTGGGGCAGGGGGCAGGGAGCTGCTGGTGGGTGCTAAGCACTCACCAATTTTTCCCTGTGGGTGCTCCAGCCCCGGAGCACCCACAGAGTTGGCACCTATGACCGTTATCATTTTGACGACTGTTCACTGGCTTGTGTGAAGTTGAGTTTGATGACTCTCCAGTCCAGTTCCCAGTGGCCAGCTGTCCACAGCGGGCCCCCAACCCCACCATCCTGGTCATACCACTGCAGGCGGCGAGAGCTCGGCACATCTCAAGTAGAGCCGGCCGTAATAGGGAGCAGTGTCTGGATGCGCTTTCCCAGACAAGCGGTGACAGTTTCCCTAGCTCCTGTTCACTCAGGTTACCATAAACTGACCCACATGAACCTCACTCCATTTACTGCTGTGAAATATCTCAACTGATACCTGAGTGCAGACGGTCCAGCTTTCACACTGAGGGCAATTCCGGGAAGGCAGGAGTGACCGTGATGTGATTGATTCTGCCCTCAGGCTGACGGCGTACGTGGCGAAGGTCTTTGCTATGGCTAAGAAACTGGTGCCCATTGAAAACCAAGTTATCTGTGGGGCAGTGAAATGGCTGATCCTGGAAAAGCAGAAACCGGATGGGGTCTTCCAAGAAGATGCCCCCGTAATCCATGGAGAGATGGTTGTACGTGTTTCCTTTGACTTTTACACACCAATCACTACCCACCTCAGTCATCACAGCAACTTGTTCGTTCATAATTCAAAGGGACGTGTTACTGGGCTACATCCCAAAGTCTGTGCTCACGCAGACTGATCTCCTCTCTCTCGCTCGCATCAGTGGAACAACCCAGTGCAGTTACCTGGGCAGCAGTGAATGGAGATTCAGGCCCAATGGGCCAGATTGTATCTATTTAGTCCTTAGTGGACTTCATGGAGTCTTTGGCAGTTCTCCCTTGTTGGGGGTAAACATTCTGCTGGGGGTAGATCATTTTTGGTTTTGTTGTTGTTCGGGGTTTAGGAGTGAAAGGGGGGGGTCACTGTTGGAGTTAGGGGTGTCAGGGTTGGGATTTAGGGGTGCCAGGATTTAGGGTGTGTCAGTATTAAGGTTTATTAGGTAAAAGGGGGTGTGGGTGTCGGGCTTTTGCGGGTGTCAGTGTCAGGATTTAGGAGACTCGGTGTTAGGGTTTAGGTAGAAGGGGTGTTGGTGTCAGGATTTAGGGGGCATAAGTGTCAAGTTTTAGGGGTGTCAGGGTGGGGTTTAGGGGTCTCAGTGTTAGGGTTTAGGGGCTGAAGGGGTGTCAGGGTTTAGCAGAGGTGCTGGAACTAGGGGTGCATGGGGTGCTGCAACAACCCCTGGCTTGAAGTGGTTTCCATTATATACAGGGTTACAGTTTGGTTCAATGGCTCTCAGCACCCCCACTATAAACATTGTTCCAGCACCCCTGGGGTTTAGGGCTGTCAGTTTCTGAGTTTAAGGGGTCTATGTGTTAGGGGTCTCAGTGTTAGGGTTTAGGGCAGAAGGGGGTGTCCATGTCAGGGTTTATTAGATAGAAGGGGGTCAGGTTTGTTATGTGAGTGTTGTTCTCGTGGTGGAAAGACTTCTCCAAAGGGGATAGTTTTGCAGCATTTTCTAAAGACACTTAGGCTCTGGCCTGGCGTTCCCTGGGCATTGTCTCCTCAGCCAACTCCCCTCGACTGAGAATGACTTGTCCACGCCTCTCATGCGTTTCATCCTGGGCTTAGTGATTTGCATTGTCCCAGAGGAGCCCAGCTGTCTTGGTGATTCACAGGCCAAAGTTGTCACTGGGGCTTGATCCATTAACGCACGGGAAGCTGCCTGGGAGCTAGTGGTAGGACCTGAGCACCGGCCTGGTGAGCTAAATTCTCTCACGCTGGTTTAATACGAAGCATCTCTATTGATTTGGATGGAGTTCCTCCACACTGACAAAGGAGTAACTGAGATCAGAACCTGGCTCATTGCACGACAGGTGTTCGTTAGCCAAAGGGAGGTTCAGCGATAGGTCTGGCCACGACTGAGAGTCCATTCTTGGGTAGCTTTCTAGGAAGCATGTGTTCTGCTATAATTTCCTATGCTGAGGGCCTGGGATTAATTCTTCCTTTTCATGGTACTCGGGGGACTTTCTTATCCCAAATCTGGCCTTTGCTCCCCTTTAGGGAGGGTACAAGGGTGCTGAGCCTGATGTCTCTTTAACGGCTTTTGTGCTGATTGCATTGGAAGAGGCCAAGGACATCTGCAAGGATCAAGTCAACGTGAGTATCTCTGCACCGTATGTGCACTTCTACGTTCATACCCAGGTTTTCCCATCTTTCCATCCCCTATGAACCACGCCCCGTGGCCTGTGGAATTTGCTGGGGAAGGAGCTAGTAAATCTGCATTGATTCATGCCATATGTAAGTAAATAAAAAAAAAATTGTTTCCTCTAAGCTTATAGAAACAAAGCTTATAGGTCCAGAACATTCTAGGAGGTTAGTGAAAAATGAATCCACATACGGAATACCGGAAACGTTTTACTTCAAACATTCGATTTCCCCTTTTTCTTTAACAACAAAAACAGCACCCCGAGCCCGGCACCCCCCAGGTGGTCGCCTGGATTGCCTGCCCCTAAATCTGGCCCTGGTCTGTGGTATCAGACAGAAGCTACAAGAGAGGAGGATGAGATGATGTGGTCGGCACGTACTAAGAGGGGATGAAGAGAATCATAGGTGCCAATTCCATGGGTGTTCTGGTGCTCAAGCACCCATGGAAAAAAATAGGGGGTGCTCAGCACCCACCAGCCACACTGGTTCCACCCCGGCTGGCTGCCGATCAGCTGTTTAGCAGGTCCCTGGGGCTGGCCACTGATCAGCAAGCGGCTGGCGGGAGGCGCTCAGAGGAGGGGACAGAAGAGGGAGCGGCGGGCCGGCGGGGGGGACTTTGAGGGAGGGGGTGGAGCAGGGACAGGAAGAGGTGGATAAATCATGCATGTGAATCGTGCATCAAAGTTGTGAAATGAGCTACAAATGCAATAAAAAATAAGGTATTCAAAAATTTAACAAATAGAGGGGGGGACGCCAAAGACGCTCTGGGGAGCTATTTGGGCTAGGGCCAGCCCTGCCACAGACTTTGGTTTCACTCCTGATGACATTCTGCATGTGGTCCAGAAATGTCCCCTTTCGCTGCCTTCAAATATCTCACTTCCATGTCTTCCTGCCTCCTCCGTCTTTCACCAGCACAAAATTCACTGTGAAATTAAATAAAGCTGGAAGCCACATGAATTCATAATGTCTTAATGTAACCCACACAGCTCCTGGGTGTGGTGTCTGTCCCATCTAGTGGCACTGAGACCACTTAGAGAGAGATTAATGAGTCTGCTCTAGAGCCTTCGGGCTTCTAGTTCATGCAGTAAAGGCTCAAGCATTTAGCTCCAGAGGTCCCACGTTTGATCCTGCCCACCGACGACCAGGGTCTGTCGGTGTTACATTAACACCACCCAAAACCTCAGCCTAACTCACAAGTTTAATTTTCTTTTGTTTTCTTTGTCACCTCCTAGAGTTTGGAAGGCAGCATCAGCAAAGCCGCTGACTTCTTAGCTGAAAGGTACCAGTCTCTAGCCAGACCTTACACTGTGGCTCTTGCATCCTATGCCTTAGCGATGGTGGGGACACTGAACACTGAAAAGGCGCTCATGAGAGCTTCGACAGGTAAGTCAGGGCATCTTATCAACTACTGGAAAGATGTGGCCAAGTCAGGATGGGGTTCAGGGAAGAGAAGCAAAGGAGGCTGGAGAGGGATTAATTTATGAGGAATGAATAACAGGCATAGACTTGTTCTTTTTGGCCAGATTTGAGATTGATTGGTCTGGGTGTAAATCCAGAGTAACTCTCGTGGGTTGAGTGGAGACAGTTACTCCAGATTTACACCAATGTGTCTGAGATCTGGATGTGGCAGAGATATATGTGTAACCCTTCTGCCCATCTAAGTTGGCAGCAACAAGGGCCGGGTTC